AATGCTGAAGGAGATCCCTGGAGGACTTGCTTTGCCAGGAACACCTCGGAGTACCTGAACCAAGGGTGACCACTGTTTGGGGTCTGTTGGAGTGGCAGTGCTCAGGTGCTGGCAGGAGCCCCACTTTCCCTTCATCTCTTCAAGTGACACTTGGCAGCAGAGCGGGGAGCACCCTCAGCACCGCTGAAACCGTGGGCTGAGGTCCACCAGCAGACAGGGTGTTTTGGGCACAGGCCTGGGCAGTACGGTGTGCTGGTGCAGGGCTCTGCACGCTGCAAACACAGCAGTGCCGAGCTGTGCTCCTCAGCCGGGTCTCCGTGTTGCTTTTGTGCTCCCCAGCTTGAATTCAGCCCTCTGGTGCCCAAACCCATGTCTCCTCCGAGGACAGCGGAGCTGCCACCTCGGTGGTGCTTTGCAGGGCTCGCTCCAAAGCTCACTGGAGAGCGACACCCATTTGCTTCCCAGGGTCTGGGTGGGCTTTGGGAATCCAAGAAAACCCACCATGGAAGACTTCACAGGTGACATGAAATCCCCTGCCTTGGCCCATGCTTGAATGCTCCATCGCTCAGCCGTGCACCTTGTGAAAAAGGCTGTTAGTGGTCATTTATCCCTAAGGCTTCCCAGCATGCAGAGGAAGCCAACTGGATGGTTTCTACACCTGGTTTTGCTCCTTGCTCGCATGCGTACAGTGCTTTCCCAGGTTTTGCTCTCCCAGGTGGCTCCAGGCTCTGTCCTTACCCCAGCCCTGCCTGCACCTTCCTTCCCTGCTGCCTCCTCCCTCCAAACCACCTCAGGCACAGCCAATTGCAGGTGCCTCCCACAAAATCATGGGGGTGATGCGGGGATTTTTGGCTGCAGTGTCACACCTGAGCGGCTGCCGATAAAAGGTACAAGCTTCAGAAGGATTGATTTACTGTTCCTGCAACCTCACCCAGGGATTCCTTCCTGGTGGTAAACTCTGGGTGATTTTAAAGGGAGGACTGGGGAGCTAAAACAGCTGCAGCAGCGCTGCGCATTGCCTTCCAGCAAGTTTAGGTGTTAATGCTGGGTCATATCATTTTCAAATGCACCTCGTTTCCCCAGCCGTGCACATAGCATGAACCTAACAGTTACAGCCAAACAACTTGCAAGGTCTCCTTTGTAATATTTTCGTCTTAGGCTGCTCTTCTGGGCAGTTGCAGGGATTTTACTGATGAAATGATGTTGCTGAATGATGAAATGAAATGAAATGATGCTGCTGCTAGCCCTAAATGCCCTCCCCATAGCGCTGCTGCTGCCCTACGGCACCCTCCTCAAAAATATTTCTGCCCTTAGCCTGGAAACAAAGTAGATGCTGGCTACGGCATTTCTGCTTGTTTTTTTCAGTTTACGCATGCCACTAATAACCCGCCAAATCCAATCGCTTCTTACCATTGCTCCTGTTCCAGTAAAGCAGACCTGCCACTGAAACGAGCCTGGCTCACTGTACACAGTTTCTCTTTAATGGCCATATGCTGTGTTTTCCCATGAACTCGTGATTTGTGTGGGCTTGGGTCTGGTAAGTACGTTCCCCGTTCATTTTCTGGTTTCTATGCTGGATGCTTTTTCTGCAGAGGGTGTCGCTTCAGAAAGATCGAAATAATTCAATGTCTGTTTCTTGGGTTTTTCCTTGTTTGTTTTCACTCTTAAAACTTTCAGACCACTGTGAACAGTGAACTTTGGGAACGAAGTGAACCACTAATTGATAGCTTTCCCCAGTTAGACCTGGAAAGTTTATGCACAAGGAATAAAATAGCAACCCAAACTCAGGCTATAAACAATTCACTCAAGGGAACAGCTCCTGAGTGAAGCTCAGCCTCCCCGTCTGGAGCAAAAGCTGCTTTCCCTGCCCTGCTGAGTTACTCCTGATGCTGGGGTTCACGAGAGGGCTATATCACCATGTTTGAGGTCATATGCAAAACACATTCCCAGAGGCTGTGACATGCTCCTTATTGGGAAGCAGGCTCTTCTCTGGCACCTGTGGAAATCTTTTACTGCCTGCCTGCAGCAGGGAGGAAAATCAGGAGGAAATCAGGCCTGTTAATCATTTACAGGCAATTATATAAAAGTAGCAAAAAAAAAAAATTTCTAATCTTCACTTTAATACAAAGGATTTTTTTCCTGCAGGGTTACAAATGTAGATGAGAGAACTGGGAGCTGGGAAAAATAAAGTATTTTGTGGTTTTGCTCCAAGGAAGGGGCTAACCTCTGAATTACAGACTGGTTTCTGCTGATCTGCTGCCACTTTGGTTGCTTCACCACCAGGGATGAACATCCCTGTTTTCAGCTGGGACCCCCAAAGCAGGGCTATCAGATGGAAGACATGCATGGATGAAGTGAACAAAACAACAGTGAAAGGACCTGTGGTGCCTCGTGACAGGACCAGAGGCAATGGGCACAAATCGAAGCACAGGAGGTTCCCTCTGAACATCAGGGAACACTTTTTTACTGTGAGGGTGACCAAGCCCTGGCACAGGCTGCCCAGAGAGGTTGTGGTCTCCATCCTTGGAGATCTTCCAAAGCCGTTTGGACATGGTGCTGGGCAACTGGCTTTGGGTGGCACTGCTTGAGCGGGGGGCTTGGACCAGATGCCCTCCAGAGGTGCCTTCCGACCTCAACCCCTCTGTGATTCTGTAGCCACCCCTGGGACATGCTAATTTTACCTCGGCTTGAGCAAAGTGAAAGGCTGTGGAAAGACTTAACTCCCAGGTTTTGTTAAGATGTCAGCTTCAGGACTAAAACCTCATGGAGGCTTACAGATAAAGAATGAGGAAAGAAAATACACTAATTTAGTGAGTATAAATAGTAACTGCCAGACAGATAACTTCCAGAAATAGATCAGCTGGAGATCAGCTGGCCTGTGGGCCCCAGGCTCTTCAGGAGCGAGTTTCACTGGGGATCAGTGTTTTGAGGGGGCAGCCGGAGCAGGACCGGGAGCCCCGGCCCTCAGCCCTGCTCTCTCTCTGCAATCAAATGACAGCTTCTTCGGAGAGTCAGTAAGAGGAAGAAGATCCCTTTTTTCCCTCGGATGTTCTGTCAGCAGGGGGAATTGTTGGGATGTAGGTCAGTCCTGTTTCTCTGTGACCGGGAAATGGGCGGCACCTGCCCCCATGAGTCAGGAGGAAGGAGCCAGCTTCTGACTAGAGCTGTCCCACACCTACCCACGGGGCCGGCCAAAGGAAAACCTGCCGCCTTCCACCTTCAGGACAAAGGCACGGGGTTTTCCCAGACCAAAACCTATTCATCAATATCGTGCAGTAGCTACGATGACTTTCTATTGGAAAGGGGGAGAGTCAAGTCCCAGCGGGTGTGCAGCCAGGCTCCTGGGCTGCACTGAGCAGTTCATGCAGTTTCCCAGTGCCCTGGGTGACCTCAGCTCTCTGTCCATCTCCTCAGCCTCTCTTCCTTCCGCCGATAGGATGCTAATCGCTGCTGAGATTTTTCCAGTTGAGCAGGGGATTGCGCCTTAGTCATCTGAGCAAGCCCCCTTCCTCCCTTTAAAGTTTTCCCATGCTTAATTTGACTTTGTATCAGTAGGAAATGACAAGCCATGCCATTTTTTCTCTTTCCAAGTGTTTCATACTGCTTCACTCTACACAGACGCACAGCATCTGAGTGGGAAAGCACAATGAACTCATGAAGTATTACCAATAGGAAGTGACATTTTTCCTCCTTTTGTTCAGTAAAATTCCCAATGGACTGCAGTTAAAATATTGGAGACATTTTATTTAAAGACAGGAAGGTTGTGTTTTGAACTTAGATATATTTCTGATTTAATTTTCTGTCCAACTGAAGCCAAATCTGACTAGTCTGAACAATTTTCAAGTGAAGATTGCAAACTTATTAAAAAAATCCTGCGAATATAACCTTCAACCAAGTTCTGTCTCTAAACTGTGCTTTAATATCAGAAAAATTAACACAGCATTTCACTTTTAGAAGTAAGTGTTCTCTGTATGTGTCAACTTCAAGGGTCTTATGAAAGCAGCCGTTTTCAAGCTTCTGCTTCACAGATTTGCCAGCATGGGTAGCACCAGGATTACGCCTCAGGCAGGTATCTTCTGATGGCTGAATGGTGACCTTTTCCTTAACAGCAGGGCACTGAAGGTCTTGAATGCAGACTGAGTTTTGCCCTTACATCTGTGCTTCAAGCAGCGCTTTTCCTCCTAGGGCAGGCCTTAACCTGGTGGCCGTGTGCTTTAAAAGAGAAACTGTAGGCTCTGAGAGGTTCTGTGAAATCTCTGCCCACCAAAGCGCATCTGACTTCAGGTGCTGTTACGTTGCCATCAAGAGGACTGCAACTAAGGAAACTAATGCTTAAACCCTGAAAATTTTCACTGAAATACCTGGTGCTTCTTTGCAGCTTAATTTCCAGATCGCCCAGTCCAGAGAGAGACCCTTCCTTCATGTCTAAGTAATTGCATCAGCTGGACTCAAGTGAGCAGAATTTAACCCCCTTGTAATCAGGATCACTGTTACCAGAGGAATGGGATTTATTAGGGAAAGGCTGGGTTAAGGAAACAGCAGAAAAGCTTCAAGAACCTGTGTTTAATTTTGCTTTGTCCTCCTCATGCTACTAGTACTCGTATTTCTCATCCGTAGAGCACGTTCTCCTGTAATTTATGAGCCGCAACACATGTAACTGGTTACAAGGATGATGCCCTAATGCAGGTGTTTCTCCATGTTATGCTGCTTAAATATTTTAGTCCTTTTTAAATATTCCTTAACCTGCATATGGCAATTGATCCCAAATTACAGTGAAAAGTAATGCGTAACGGAACATAACTTAAAACTATGAAAGCTTGTAAACATGTTTTTCACAGAATGACTTATAGACAGTCAAGGGTTTGAAACTCTTCTTTTATTGCATTTATTTCTTCTTACTTTACAAATAATTATATGCACTGATACAAATGTTCCTTCACAGAAGGTACATTTCTTTTTTAAAAAAAAAAAGGGCTAGGGCATCATCCAAAATAAGCCATTTATTGTTCATTAATATAAAACATATTCATATTTCTAGGAGGTGTCATATCCAAACCACTGTTCATCCAAATTTCTTGTATGATCTGCTCCCTGCGCTCTATCCTTTCAGCCAGTTCTGCTGCCTCTGTTGAATTATAACCTGAGTAAGAAGGTCTGTAAAGTCCCGCTATCTCATCCTGGACGTCTGAATCAGAGGAATCTTCCTCCTCCTCCTCCTCCTCTTCCTCATTTTCACTGTTCTCGTACGCTCTGTCACTTTCTGGCACTAACTGATCCTTCTTCCTGTGCCATTTCTGGAAGTCACGCGAGCACGACGTGCGGATCACCAAAGCACAGAGTGTGAAGATTAATCCCACACAGACACTGGACACAAAGAGGAGAGCGGCTCTTTCAGGGTGATCTGAAATCAGAAAGCCAGTGCTTAGACGCTTTACAAACTCTGCCAAAGCCTAACTACAAAAAAAATCAGCTGCCATTTCCGAAGCATCCCGCACTACACAGGCGTAAGTGGAGGGTCCTTGGGGGGACGTGGGGAGGTTTGTTCCATCAGGCACTGAAAGCACCCTGCACATGCACTCTGAACGCTGCCATCTCTGCCTCTTCAAGTTACTGTGCAAAAATAGTACCCAGACTCTTAATAGTATTATAAAACAACTACATTATCCCATCTTTTTATTAGCGGCTTACTAGCATTCTCAACCAGCTACCAGAAGCATACCCTTTATTTTCCCAGCCATCCTGCCAAAAACAGGCCTTACCCTCATGAAGAGGGGGCATGGGAAGAGCAACTCCGGGCTCGGCGGAGCCACGGCAGCATCTCCAGGCCAGGCTGGGCAGGGAGCATTTTTCTTCCTTGACACAGTCTGAGATCACTCCTCAGTATAGCAACAAGTGAGGCTGATGTGGAAACGGCCTTTCTCAATGGGTTGTGAATGCCCTGGCTGCTTGGGGCGTTGCTGTGAGGCCTCAAGGGTGGTGGAGTCTGGAGGTTTGGGGAGAGCTGGGTGCTGCCGGCAGGGACAGTCTGTCTCGCCACGCCGGCAGGCTGCGGCCGCTCTTTGTGCTGGCGGGGGAAGCCCTTGCAAAGGCTGTGGGATGATGCTCAACAGCTGCGTGGTTCTTGGCGTCTTCTAGAAGAGCGGCAGTCTTAGCTCCAGAATTGCTTCTCAGCAATTGCATCAGCCTTTGCTCACTTCCGAAATTCCTGACTTCTCCTGGTGGTGTTAAGAGATCTGGTGATGACGAATTTATTTGCCTAAACAATGTTTGCCCTAGTGTTGCTGAGTCATAAAACCTGCCATGTCCTGTACCAGAGATGGCTGGGTTTGGGTTGGGTTGTTTTTTTTTTCACTGCTCCTCGATGATCCTTGTATGTATGCAAACCAACATTTCCAAAAATGGATGTCTTCAGCACTGCTCCCAGATCAGGACCAGATTTTCAAAAATACTGAACAACCGACAGTCCCCATTGAAACTATTCATCAAAAAATACCTTGGCTGCAGTCTCTAGAAGAGTTTGGATCCTTCACAATGGAAAATATTCTATAAATATCAATTATGCTGCGACTGCCCCAACCACAAGATTGTGATTATAACGTAATAATATCGCTACTATAAACACGGGATTACCAGTTGTGACCTTCTGAGGTTACCCTCCTTTTTCCCAATATGCCATGACCTAATGAACCAAACAATCTCAGCCTTATTTTCCTACCTCTAATGTATGCAAATGTAGCCAAAGAGCTGCTAACAATAGTTCCATCTTTCTTTGGAAGTCTTGATTCCTTTGGATCAAGGTCGACACCTGTGACACAAGGAGGTAAACCACCAAATTCAATCATATCGTAGATGCTGAAGCTACTAAACTGATACTCACCCAGTAACTTTTAAACTAACAAGTTCACCTAAAACACAGGCAGACCAGCGCTGTGCTGTAGGAACCTTGCAGAACATTGGACCAAACAATGGTTGATAAATAAAATAAATATTGAAATAAAGTATAAATAACAAAGTATTGAAAATACCGAATATCTAGAAAATGGCAAATTTATTCAACAGATTCTATTACCAAGTGAAAGCCCTTGCCTATTCCCATTAAGGTTTCTGAAATAATTTTACTTCATTAAGCTTCACGGCTCTCAAATAGACTTCCCAGCCCAGTCACTGCAGGACGCTCCTGTTACTGATGACAGCGAATATGCATCAGCCACGTCATCAGTTTTGTTGCCTTTAAGAAGAGCAGGTGTTGGTGTAACTCTTCAAAAGCTCTTCACCCTGAAACAACTGCAGTTTCACATTTACTTTTCCTAATTAGAGGACGTTGCGCTGGTTGTGGGTAGGTCTGGGCGGGTCACTCGTTTCACAGCCTTGCTGTGACAGCAGGACCGTGCTCGTGCGGGTCCCGTCCTGCTCCCAGCCCATCATGCTGCCCTCCGAGGGGAAGAGCAGCTCTTTCAGCAGGGTTGCCATTACCTCGTCCCACCTCCCTCAGACCAAGCTCTGCAGTGGGAAAACGTCCTATTTCAATCAAAGACAAAGAAGAGCAGCAAACTGTATTTTTTTTTGATGGTACATACCATCGTTCTGTTTGATGGAAGACTTGTTATCGGTGACGAGGGGGTTGACAGCCGTGAGGATAAATTTAGGAACTGAAAAGATGAAAGACAAATTGTGTACTGTTAGTTTTAAGAACTAGATCGCCAGTTAATTACCAATCCCACTGGTAACCCTGGGTTTACTAATTGGGTTTCTGATGGTGGTGTTGAAGGGATTGGAGCCAGCAGCTCCACCGCTCAGAGACTGAAGCGGGCGGCTGCATCCGCAGCCAGCGCAGGTAAGTGCCGTCCCTGCTGGTGTGCAAGCCTGGCCCCGGTGCCGCAGCCCGCCTGAGCTCCCTCGGTGGCCCAGAGATGCTCCCTCACGCCCCAAGGCCAGAAGTGTTTGCAGAGGTGGTGCGCGGTGCAGCCCCAGGCAGAGCTGTGCTGCCTGTCCCCACCGTACCAGCGCCGGCCGGGGCTGCTGCCACTGCGTTGCCTTGACTTTTACTAACCTAGTGACACTCTTAACCCCCACAGCGGGCAAATGCAGGGCCCTGCACACGCGGGGAGCCCCAGAAGAAGGGCTGTGCTCAGTGACATGTCCTCTGCCATCCACCACTACCCACAGATCTGACACACCAGGAGGCACGGCACCGGGATGCTGTGGTGCCGGACAGTGGCAAAGAGCGTGCTGCTCACAGGGCTGGCACTGGCGGGGAGGAAAAGGAGGTGGGAAAGCGAACAGTAACTGGGAAGAAGACTGAAAGGAAAGTGGGGTGGGCAGGGCAGGGAGACAAAAGCAAGCACAGCAGGCAGAGTGAGCCTGAAGGATGGGATGTACAGGTAGAGAGCCAGTAATTTTCACCTAAAGATCAGTGAAACACCAAAGGAGACAGAAAATGCTGCAATTTCTTGCTAGGGACTAGTAAGGGCAGCTCTGGACCTGTGACTGGATCCACACACTAGCCCACGTGGAGCTCCAGGAACACCAATGCAGCTGCATACAGCATGGGGAACTGCTCCTTTGTTTTCCACCCCACAAGGGGTGTGCCAGCCAGTGGACAGGAAACAAAACTGGCCTATAAATTCAGGATAAACTGGGCTACAGTCAGATGCTAAACTGCATCTAGATACCGGTTCTGGATGAGGATAATTCACTGTAACTGAGATAAATGTTTAAAGTCTTGTGTGACATGCTCTGCAAAGCCTCTGAGACAAATGCTCTCCAAGGAGGAGGGCGCACAGGATGGGAAGAGATGTGCTGGGTGGGAGTGGGCTGCAGCCTTCTCATTTCATTGAATTTTTCCCTTTATAAGTTTTCACACTCTTAAAATAATTAAAAAGAGCTAAAAGCAGGTGCATCATGCAGACATTGAGAGCTGACATATTCTGTATCAGATGAATGGGTCCTTCAGATATCCAGATCTTGGCACCTGCTCTCTGTACTATGTGAAGGCAGATTGATTGATTTTTAGACTGATGTGAAGGGGGAAAAAGAAGGAAGAAATTTCAGGTATGAAGCTTACTTCTCTTCCACATAGAAACATTTGTTAATAAATAGTGTTAAGGAAAGTTAAATGGAACGGAGGAGAGCGAGGTTTGGGGCTTAGCATAGTTTTAATTTGAAAAACAACTAAAAATAGCACTTATTTCTGAGAAGAACTTTTCTTTGTGTGTGGGCTCAAAATCATAGCTCTTTCCTTTCCTGATGAAGGAATTTTTTTGGGACTCTTAGCTCCTGTTTGCAATAGAAGGCCAACAGAGATAGGGGAGAATGAGCTCATTTCTATTTTGGCTTGTACCTCATCGTAATTCTTAGCTGTTTTCCAGCAGCAGAATATTTTTGTTGGTGCATGAGGCAGGCAGTGATCAGGTTGGTTTGTTTTCAGACTGCACTCTGAATTTGCAGGCCTGGCTGTTATGAGCAATGTGCACATGTCAAGAACAACATCCTGGTAGGACACACTGTCCCCAGAGCCTTTGTGTGACCTGAAGCTCCTGTCGCACGGCCTGGTGCCCAGGCCGGCGCTCCTTCACCTGTGCTGATGTTCCTCCTGCTCCCCTCCCAGGGGTAACTTCCCAGGGCTTGGCTTGCTACAGGACTGAATCCTTTCCTCGTGTCTTCCCATCAGGTTTGAACAGCTATTATTTAGTATGCCACTCAAATATTTGTTGTAGGGGGATGCTTAATTCAAAATGGCGTGGACAAAAAAAAAAGCTCCTGACTGCCTGTGTTGTTGATTTTCGTTACGGCTTCATTTCAGACACAAGGACTTTAACTAGGATAGGCTGCATCAGTCACTGAACAGAGTAACTGGTACTAGCATGAGGCATTTTTATCCATCTATACTGCCACTTGTGCCAGCACTACTTTGTCGAGTAGGGTAGGAGTCAGTCACCTACCGCACAGACAGACTCTGAATGGCGTCCAGGGAGCGCAGATACACCACGGGGCATCAGGAGCTGTGCTTCCCGAGTGAGGCTCCTGAAGTCCAGCCTCAGCAAGAGCCACGAGATGTCACCTCATGCAGACACGAGATGATGCTGAGCAGGTCATCGGGGGCCCTGAGACTGAGAAACCAGCACCTCCTGGCTGCTGCTAAGTTTTTACTAGCAGGAATTAACTGCAAAAATAAAAATGCAGCCAGGGACACTAGCCCTAAACAGTTGCTGACCCATGAGGTGGGGAGTATGATTTTTTTCACATTCCTGACCATGATGGAAATACTCTCAAGGGCAGCACAGCCCTCAGAGAACGTGGTCTGCTCTGCTGTGCTCCTGTCACTTCAGGAGGAGGCCTATTTACCTTATCTTGGGAAGCATCAGGTTAGCAGGGATCTTTTATTGAGGGAAAAGAATGTAAAATGTCATTCTGGAATATGCCCAAACTCTTCCCGTGTTCACTAGATGATCTGTAAAATAATTAGACCTGCAAATCATTGGCTAATGCTTCAGATTGCACAGCTCAGTAAGATTTGGCAGAAGAAAAAGTCTTCAAAATGCGCCAGCAACACACAAGAACACTATTTATTACCCACGTGTTTTTGCAAAACCACTTCACTAAGTAACAGAATACATAACCTCGCTGCAAACAAACTTACGCTGGTTTTCTAGTACACAGATGTGCAAGGAAGAACAATCTGTTATAATTATCCTTCCTCTAATTAAAGAGAATTCCATTAACTCTTCCATAAAGTTTCTACAGCATGAAGGCAACTGCATAATAATAGAACGTGTTAGTGCAAAGGCAGATCTCCAGCTCTCTTCAACACAGTAAAGGTGTATTACTGCGATGCCTCTCACCTGACAGCTAACTCATGGGGATACTGAAAATCTCTCATTCCAGCAAGGAAGCAGCCGGGGCTCATTTTCCTCTGGTCTTCAGGTACACGGTGATCTGGTAATCAATCCTACACTGCTGTTCCCAAAAGCACATCTCAGATAACCTGTGCCCTTTGACTACTAGTCACCAGAGATGCAGCAAAAGGACTCTATGGTATGTCCCCATGGAGCTACTGCTGCCACTCCCTACAGACCAGAGAGCGCCAGAAAGGAGCAGGGCTGGCAGCTTTCCAAGCAGTGCACAGTAAGCACAGAGGTAACTTGGTGAAAAAGCTTTTATGCCTCCTCTGGCTGAAGCAGAGGCATGTGAGAGACAATCACCCTTGACCCTCACGCTTCTACCGCACAGCCAGCCAGCAGCAGAAAGCAGAGCCTGAGGAAATCTGTTTGAGGCTTAAGGAATGTGCGGCCATTCCTAAAAGTGTGCAATACCAAAATAAGGCACTACATTGAAGTTCTACAACCACTTTTCTCTCACCTTTACCGGTACTACACTTTGCTGTCTCATGGCCTTTGCTTTTGAGAAAAAGAATTGTAGGGAATTCTGCTTTCCCCTCATGTAAATATATTAGTCTATGGTAAAGAATATGGAAAACTGTTCCCCCTTGTCTGAGGAATGAGCTGAAGTAGGCTTCAGGCCTGCAAGGGATGTATAACCTCAAATTTCTACTTTTAGTGAGACTTTGCCCATGCGAAAGGAAATCCCTCTGCAAGGCTGAAGGCTGTAGGTGTGCTCATGTGAATCAGATTTCAAGACTGGGCTTCTACACAGTGCTTCAATTATGCGGGACTGATTTACCTGCACTGATGGTAGACAATGCCCAGTTATTTTTCCTAGCTCTGTTGCAGGTGAATTCTGTAGAACAGACTCTTAGTTTGATAATATCTCTCAAAATATTAAAACACATACTCTATATTTTATTGTCAATTGCATTTTTATAGGAAAAAACCCCTTGATGCCTGAATTTACATTAGGTGCAGCTCTGCCTGTGGGATTGTTCACATTATTTTGGTTGTTCTTTTATAGCTATGTCACAAACTTCCTGTATTATAGGAAGGGGAGATTTAGGAAGCCTCTGTGTGCATGTGTGTGTGTGTCTCCATAGGTGTGCACCATTTGGCACCGTTTTGCTCTGCAAGCAGAATGAGGGCTTTAAAATGACCATGCATTTACTCTTACCACATGCATAGCTGACGTTAAGGTATTTTGTCACTCCAGGTAGGCACGGACTTCCAAAATCCTGGCTAGTGACAATGACTTTGCATCTCTGTTTCCCATAACACCTTTTTGATAGAACTTCTAGCGCCGTGTGAGAGAAACAGTCTGAAAGAAAAATACATACAATAAAGATACAACACTGGTGTTATCAGAAATGATAGCTGCTACGTGCACGACGAGACATACAAATCCGCTACTGACTTCAGGCATGTTTGCCTAAGCAGGATTTCAGAATTAAATACTAAGATTTGTCAATGCCAGGAAGTCAGCTGCAATGAAAATGTCAACTTGCAGCAGGCTAACTACCTCGTGCTGACTTCCAGGTGCATGCTAAGGTTGCAGTAGGATTCATGTCAAGCTTCAAACAAGGTGCCCAGTATAAGACCTCTATGTTCCCTTCATGATGACTTGGAAAAAATAAGCACATCTAAATAGCTCTTCATCTATTCCATCTCAAGTGCAGATAAAGGGACATGCAATGCTGTTTGCAGGTCTTTCTCTTGGTCCCTGGGTTATTGAGATGGTTCAACTGGATGCCTAATTTCAGTTCAAGCCAGGTGAGATCAATTTTTGTGTGTTGCAACAGCTAGGGCTGCAGTGAAATTCAGTGTATTAAAGGTAGCTTTTTATTTATTATGCCTGTCGCTGGTACGAGCCATTCTGCCATAGCGAAGAGGTCAAAATGGGCTCAATATTTAACCAGGGAAACTTTTGGCTTCTTCCTCCCATACCAAATTCCAGGCTGTTCTAGTAAGGCTGCCACCACAAGCCAAGTTTGCATGCCTAAAGCAACCTCGGTGGCATCTACCACTGCACTGCCTTCATGCCCTAATTACAGGAGGTAACCCACAACAGTTTCAAAGCAGCTTAAACTACCTCTGACCTTGTGCAGATTGCTGAACCTCTCTCTGTGGACTGAGCAAGAAGCACACGCTGTGTGTGAAAACCTGCCTTACTAACATCTACAATCAGAGTTGGAATGTCTTTGTTCAAGACTTACACCTTCTACCAGAATTTACAAAAGAATAAACCTTGATTACCAGGATTTTGCACTGAAGCCGAAATTGTTTGAGTGGAAAAGTGTGTGTGTCAGACAAACTTTTAAAAATCTGCTTTAAAAAGAGAAAGAATGTCTCTAGATATGATTAAATTCCTGGTATCCACATGTGCTAAACTCCAAGCCACAAAGCAAAAACATCCCTTAGTTTTGGTTTCTAAACAGAAAGCACACAGAAATGACAAGTCTGGAGTAAGTAACACTTTTCTGAAGCTGTCTGCTTCCAGTCAGCGTTACCACATATATTTTGTGACTTTCTGTGGATGAAGATATTTCTCTCTCTAGTCTTCTGAGGCAGGGACGCTCTAGAAGTCTGAAAGCATATCTCTCTGGGCATTGAAACAGTCCTTCCTACAATAAAACACAGACAAGGATGGCACCTTGCCATCTTCCAACTGCTGAAGCCCTTTAGAGGAAAGAGAAACGGTGCTTGCAAAGATACTCCCAAGGTTCCCCAAATCAGTCTTGTTCAAAAAGACAGAGGAGGCTTGAGACTGGAGTTCTTGACAAAGAACACTGACATTTAATATGTGAAAATGGGGCAGATTTGTGATTTTTAGAGCTAATCCCCTGACACCAGCACTAAATAAGTCATAGACTTGAGCAGAGCCATTGGGAGATACTGGGCTGATCTCTTTGTTTGGCAAAGGGCTCATGGGTTACCTTTGAACATGGATTTTTGGGAGAGCAACTCTTTCTTTGTCTTTTCCGAGACCTAAAATCCTAATGCCTGTATGTCCCGGGAGGCTGCTGGGCAGGCAGGGAAGGCTGACCTGAAACACTGGGTAGTTCTGATTAAGTAACTCAGCTGTCTTCTTCTCCATCCCTGGTGATTTTGGACAAGGAAGCATATATTTGGGTGGACATTTTAAGCAACCAAGTAGCTTATTTTGGCAAGTACGAAAACAACTGAAGAATATCAGGAGGAATTATCAGATGATTCATAAATTAATGGATTGGAAGCACAACAGCAATATGGCAAACTGAATTATGTTCTCTACAAAATTTCCTGCCCTGGGAGCTACTTACAGTGTCTTAAAAAACAGGAGGCTGTTGTGCTGATGGTTTTCTACAAATTCAGTGATACACAGTGAGTACGTGTTTCATTCTGCCTTTGGTAGATGTTTGTTCATGTTTCTGTGGGAGTTAATAGCTCCTTATCGTCTATATTCATGTTGGATTTGGCTCTTCTACCTGAGGAGTCAGTTGTCATATGCCTGCGGGCTCTTGGCAGGCCAGTTTTTGGAGAACTTCCCAAGGCATGCCTGGTGTCACAGGTGAGTAAATACAAACCAAGGCTGGCTTACTTTTGCAGGACACCACAGACGTTAACTAGAAAGACCTGTAACAGAAACCCCCTATTTAACAGCTTCCTGTGGTCTGAAAAGATTTTGGCTTTCAGTGATTCAGCCAAAAAATGTTAATTTTTTTTCTCTCTGGTTTATGTGTGTCCTTGCTATCTCCCCACTAGCTCTCCTGGCAGCTACAATGCCAGCTGAGCAATGATTTCAGCTCGGAGGAATTCTGTGTACTCAGTACCAAAGGCCACTTTTTCAATGTCCGCAGCTTCGTCTGTACAATCTCCCACAAACAGTCATTACAGAAGAGTATCTGCACCAAAGTCAGAGGAATCAGTGTGTGCTGAAGGGCTGTCCGAGCTAGTTTCAACCAAACTCGCTTGGCGTCTCATTGCAATCCAGCTGCAGCGACGCAGAGCTTGTGCTAGGAATAACTTATCCTCCTTCTGGTGAAACACCTTATTGCAGTGTCTCCGTGAAGAGAGGGTTCAGTGCTGCATTTTGAATAAATGAGTGAATAGTCCCACTGAACAGTCCCAAAGAAATCATCAATCAGGAGACGAACATAAACATGCAATGTGTCTTCTTTCGGAATATCCAAGTAATGTTTGAGCCACACATATGTTTATGGGGCTTGCCAAATGGGTACCATACGTTTAAAATAAACTGCCTCTTGAAAGGCACGTTCCTGGCGTGTTAGAAGGCTGGTGGCATCCACAAGCAGTGGTGGAAAAGGCAGCGATGTGTGGCTGGGAAAACTCTATTTTTCATGCCTTTCTTCCCAAGTTGCCCACTACACACCAAGACTGTTGGTGGATCTTTTGAAACAGACACTTACATGGATGGCATGGAGACACGGGTGTCAAGAAGAGGTTCTTAATGCAGTAATAAACTATCAAATCTGACTGCAGCTATTTAACAGTTAGAGTAGAAAGCCTTGTTTGTGGAGGAAAGGCTCTTTCAGCTCCCTAATTAGCTTTGTTTAGGAAAGTTTTGGCATGCAAATGACATGCCATAAATCATGCAGGCTTTAATGAGAAGCAATTTGTCTGCTGGTTTCTTAAAGCTTCTCTCAATTCAGACAGGAGGAGTTTTCCCTCCCTTTCTTTCCACCCTGCCACACAAGACCTGCAGATGATGGAGCAGCCAGAGCTGGCCTGAGCATCTTGTGCCAAGCTCTGCCAACAGCATCCCGTCACACCCTCTCCAAACGTTACTAATTGCCATCTTCTCCCACATCACTATGCGCAGGGTGAGCCTCAAGACACGGTGGGCAGGGGATGTGTCAGATCTGCATGCCATAAGAAGTAACATGCTGGTGAAGGACCAAGGCACCCAAAAAAGAAACCCCTCCACAACCTGTCACTCCAATACTGGAGCCGAGCTGCTTCTTGCTTTCATCCCAAACTGCTGGCTTATGCTGCTTTAAGCTTTCTGGGCTGTGCCTACCCGCAAATGAATATGGAGCTTGCTTTGAAAATCAACTGAAAGCAAAGATTTCACACTACCAAATCGGGATGGCTTGTGCTTTGTGGAGCACAAATATCAGCTCTGGGGATAAGAACTGACAAGGGGAAACTACAGAGTTCAGAGCAAGCTAAGGCTGAAGACTACTAAAGAAAGTTACCATAATAATATGGTAATTTATGCAAGAGCATGGCACACACAGGGTCCTGCCTATGCATCAGAAAAGGGCCTTCTGAACCAATGATTCTAGCAAAAACAATATGATCAGCAGCACTTATGAAAAGTGTGGCTGACATCTTTATATGCCAGGTCCAAGTATTGTCAGTAAACAAGACAGTACGATACGCTAAAAATACTACTTACTGCCAGCACAGGCCATTCCTTAGAAGTGAATACAGCACCATCACTTTCTGAAAAGCTGCACTCTCTCCTTCCCTCTTGCTGCAGTGCCTGTTGTGAGGCCCTTGTAAGCCTGCATAAAATTAGCCCATTTCTTGGTTTTATTTACAAGCAGCTCTGAGTTCAGAATTCAGTCTGTAAGTATTTTGCACCAAAAAAACCCCATCCTGGCCCTTCTCTCCTTCTTGCACATGCATATGCACACAGTGAGGGATCCATCTGCCAGCACAAACATCGAGGGCAAGAGACAAGTGGAACTCCACGCTCGCTGCTGGCAGCAGGAACCAGACTCCCTCTGCTCAAACGCTCGTTGCTTTGTTTTGCACCACCTGGGTCTGCCTGTACACAGGCAGGAGCTCCTCGGCTTATGGTAGGCTCAAGCGTCAACTGTACTTTTCCAAACAGTCCAAAAATCTAAGCCAGCAAAAACTATACACAAGAAAACCCTTGAATTGCTAGTAAAGAAAACATTAATGGATGAAGTGGTGTGCATCTGAGTGTGCTTCAAAGTAGGGGTTGGAAGGGACTCTCTGGAGATCATCTAGTCCAACCCCCCTGCTAAAGCAGGTTCACCCAGAGCAGGCCACACAGGACTGCATCCAGGTGGGTTTTGAATATCTCCAGGGAAGGAGACTCCACAGCCTC